TGCCGGTAGCAACTCATATAGTGATGCCAAAACCTGAGTTGCCATAAGTGGATAACAACCTTCTTCCAAGATTAAAAAAAAAAAAAGATCAAAGACACAACAGAGGATGACGTTCAAAAAGACTCCTACAGTACTAGCTTAATAAACTTATTAAAGCACACCTGTTCAATTTTGTTAAAATTGGCTCTTTTATCATCCTCTAGAGAAACACCACTCAAAACTGCCTCCTTTATTTGGCCTGCACAAGCACAATAAGAGAAATGTCAGATCAGACAAGTATAGACAAAAACGTAAAGGTAAAAGGAAAACCACACTTTGCATGGATAATGTTTAAGCAGATGATGTTAATTTTGTTAGCTTGTAAAATTGTAACTAAGCCTTCTACAAAACATGCATTGAGGAAATAACAAGTTTTGCACACGGCTCCCAGTCCTGTGTCCAGTTCAAGCACCAATTGCAAGCCATCCTTTTTCTAGTGTAAAATATAGCAAGGCTTGGTGGTACAGGTATAGTTCATCAAACATCACAATTACTTTAGAATAGAAAAACCAATGAAAAGGTCGTGAAACCCCGTATGCCTTGTAGATTGAACTTTTACATGGTACAATATGTAAGAATACTCACTTTCAACTACACGTTTGCGGGCCTCAGTCAGCGTCTGCCAATCAGGAGATTCTAGAATAGCTTTAAATGCACTGTAAATTGGTTTACTTTACCCCAACCTAAGCTGAAACTTAACTTTCTCTGGCTGCAGAGCACCACCGAACAAGAACCCAAAGCAAAATCAAAACAAAGAAGCCAATTCATGGACCAAAAATGTAGTAATACTGAGAAGTTAGTTAGAGAGAGTTAAAAGGACAGCTTTCAGAGTCAAGTCAATTCATCTCATATGGCCCTCTTTGAAATAAGGGGAATGCTAGCCACCTTCTCTGTAACTTTCTCTTTTGGATCTTCTTACTTTTCCTCATGACATGTGTCATTCTCCTTACATTTAAAACTGTCATTAATGCATCATACAAAATCCATACCTGGACTTCTTCAATAGCAGAACGAAGCTCCGAGGAGTCCTTAACAGACTTGAGGTGGTTGACTAACCCCCAAACCACAGTTAATCGGTCAACGATCTTCTCCAGCGGCACGACCAGCTTCGGCCAGGTGAGCTCCACCGTACGCTCTAATTCCTCCAAATCACCCTTCTTTAAACCCCACCATGGAAACCATCAAATACAAACCCAGAAAAAAACCAGAACCCAATTAGAAAAAACACAAAGAACCCAGAAACCAATACAAAACAAAACAAATAGCCAAAATACAGAAAAACTAAGAAAATCATAAAATCCCAGAAACTCAAATACGATAAAAATAAAAATAAATAGATGAATTTTTTTGAAACTGGAATGAAAATCGTACCAGTTTCTTCAAGAGAGCGCGAATCCCAGGTCGCACGTGCTTGGCATCGACAACATCGAAGGGAGGGAAGTCAAAGTCTTGGAGAAGAGGATTGGCTCCTAGAGCTTCGTCTAGAGAAGTAGAGGAGGCCATTGCAGTTGCAGATAGGAAAGAACAAGGGCGAGAAGAGAGTTAAGGATTGGTAGTGGAGGATTTGTGGAGACTGAGGCAGAAGGAGAAGGAAGAAGACCAGAAGGGACAATGCTAGAATATGGGTAGATGTTTAGGGGCAAAATGGAGGAAAGGAGTGCGCTTTAGGAGGAGAGGGCGGACTGAACGAGAGAGAATGACGCGAGTAGCCATGCATGTTGAATATAAGAAGAGAAGCCAACAGGGCTCTCTTTCGTACGTGGAGCTTTAAGATATGCCTCATTACGGTTTTTCTATAGGGAGAGTTATAAATAAACCCAAAAGGACAAAATTAAAGTGTTTGGACAATAATGCCCCTATTCATTTTTGGATTTCCTAAGGAATCCTTCTGCTTTTGCTAGCTGGATGAAACCAAAATGTTTTTTCTTTTCATATGTTGCTTCCTACTGGCCGTATGGAGCCAAATGGTTTGGCAACTATTCTGTTGGATGATCTCTTCACGTGAAAATGGGGTTGATGATGTTTAGCTTCACATGGTCTTCATGCTTTCATCATGTTGTCTATATTGTGTAGTTCTTCTTCTCCTAAGCTATTCTAGTATATATTGTTGTTGTCTTCTGCTGAGTTCTACTATTTGATTATAGATTTCATCAAAAACTTTTGCTCCTGTTGTGCTTATCCTGAATTCATATGTGTCATCTAGTCTCCTTGAAGTAGATTCTGAATAAATCTTGATAAATTTGGACTCGTGAAGGAGGGTCAGACGATCATCATTGAATAGTTGTTGTTCAGCTATAATCGCTCCTCTATATTTCTAAACGTCTTGCTTGGTAGGAATTCCTATTTTTGCTGATTTTGCCAGACTAAGTAGTTCATTAAAAGAAATAATAATTCTGTGTTGTGCTCTGTCTGGGTAAATGTTATCCTCAAATCATTCTGGGGGTATGCTGGTAAAATCTAATTTTACATTTTTCCAAAGAGGAAAATAAAAACTTATGACTTCTTTAAATTTTGAGGAGAATGAATCTAAATGATCGCTACTTTCAACATAAAGTTGACCTAAATAACCATATTATGCTAAAAATGTTGGAGTGATTGTGATTGTTTTTTGTTTATGCTCTAAATGCAGTTCTCTATATTCAACCATGTTAATACTAGCTAAGTGAATAATATAATGAGAACAGTTTTTGGTAATAATTTTGATGCCAGGTTGTGGATTATTTTTTAAATTGGAAAGAAAAGCTTGGATATATATTTGGAGAGATGTATTTTGCTCATACTCTAATCTAATTATATGACTCTTGACATCTTGTGGTAAAAATCTGTACCTTTCTCTAGCTAGAGTTTGAAGAAAATAGGGATTCTTAGATTTGTGCTCAAGGGAAAATTCTCTATTATGCTGAAGTAAGTTGGGCTCATTAGCCTTTTGTAGATTTTGACATCTTAAATTAATGATTCTAAAATTTTTTACTATTGTATCATATTCATTCTTTTGCTCTGGATGCTTTTCCTGCAAAAAGGAAAGTTGTTGTTTTCCTCTTTTATAATCATAATTATATGCTTAAGACTCTTGCTTAAGGGCTCTAATAAGTTTTTCATGCCCTCTTCTCATGCTTTCAGTATTAGTTCTAATGTTCCAAAAGTTGTCTAAAAGAACTTTTTGTTTATCTGCTAATGATGCTTGAGTACAATATTTTAAAGCAGGATTTCTAACTTCTCGTACTGAAATTCCATTATAAAAAAATAAGTATTTACTACTAATCGTGCTTGACTATTTATGCTTAATGGATTACCACCTTGTGATGGTATACCAATATTTTTGCTGCCAGATGATGACAGTCCAAAATACTGCATACTTGTTAAGGAATAATATGGGATAAGATATCTGCTAAAGTATTATCCATACCTTTAATATGCTCAAATATCGGTCTAAATCCATTTCCTGTAATAGAATCAACAAAATTGACCCATCTTCGGACTGCTTGTTTATTAGTAGTAATTTTATTATAATGAGAAACAATATTCTGACAATCTGTTCTAATAGTAAATATTTAATTATGTAAAAATAATGAAAATGCGTCAAGGGAATTAATTACTCCTAATATTTCTAAGTCAGTAGCCGGAAGTCTAGCATGTATATCATTAAATTTTCCTGATGCATATCTACAAACTTTTTCTTCATATTTTGGTTCTTCTTTGTATTTCTTCTAATACAATATTCCTGCCCATCCTATTGATGATGCGTCTGTCTCAACTATTTTGTAATTATTGTCTAATGGTAATGATAAAGGTTTAAGTTGAGTTATATCTTGTTTGATGCTTTGAACTAATTTAATATCTTCACTATTAAAATATTTTTGACCCGTTTTACTGGTTTTACTATGCAATGCTGCAATTTTTCTTCCTAAATCATAGATAAAACTTATAGAATAATTTAATAAGCCTAAAAATGCTTGTAATTATTTTTTATCCTCTAATTTATTTGGAAATTCTAACACTTTTTTAGCTATGTGCTCCTGTAATTGTATAGTTCCTGACTTAATGTACATACCTAAGAATTCTATATCTTGTTTTTCAAGTTCTACTTTATTCCTACTTATGACTATACCATTGTCAATAAATTCTTTTAAAATAATTTCTAAGTGTTTTCTATGTTCATTTTTATTTTTACTAGGAACTAGTATATCATCTACATATACACTACAAAAATTATCATACTTCTTAAAGATTTGGTCCATCTTTCTTTGGAAGATCGATGGTGCATTTTTTAAACCAAATGGCATTACAAGCCATTCAAAATGTCCTTCTGGACAAGTAAATGTTGTCCATTGGATTGATTCTTCTGCTAATCTAATTTGCCAAAATCCTTATTTACAATCGAACTTACTAAAATATTTACTTTCTTAAATTTTATACAAATTTATAAATAAACCCAATCCTAGACATGTATTTATAAAAAAACCAAAACACTATTTAAACATAGAAACACACCCAGAATATACAATTGTATATTTTTTGGGTGTGTTTATAAATGAGTTTTGAGTGTGTGTAATGATGGGTTTTAGGTGTGTTTATAAAGTATTTTGGGTGTTGGGTTTTTTTATAATTTCAGCCCCCATTTTGGGTGACACCGAATTTTGCAGAGATTAAGTGAGAAAACACAAGTGAGACTCGAGGGTCGGTAACTCGCCACTCTAGAGAATCCACCAAAGAGATAAGAGTCGGGAAGTTAGAAGAACTCCTTCTTCTAGAAAGCCAAAGGCTATGAAATCTCACTCAAAATAATTGTCCGTTTATTCCATAAAGGGGAAAGGTTTACATAGTGTTCATGGAACAATCCTCCATGAATAGGATAGCCTTCTTAATTAGCCATACATGAACCAACGCATAATGCCCACAAGTAATAATAGAAAACATTGTAACGGACTTGACTTAAATGAGATGAATGCACCATGTGATATTTAGAGGAGGTCAGATTCGGTGTCATACGCTTCCGCTGCACGTGAACTCGTCCCTGAGTTCTCTTCGTCTTCACTGCCATGATACGGAGAAAGGTCTGCCACATTGAAGGTTGTTGACACTCCATAATTTCCTGGGAGTTCAATCTTGTAAGCATTATCCCCTACACGCCGGAGTACTTTAAATGGGCCATCAGCTCGTGGTTTCAACTTTCCATGCTTGCCCCGAGGAAACCGCT